CCTTTGGTCACCTCTGAAACGTGGAGAGGGTGGAGAAGGTCCAGGAGGGGTTGGATAAATGGGAAATGCCAGAGCCAACATCCCACGGGCTGTGCTGGGGGGGGTGAGGCTCTGGAGCTGTTCCTGACGCCCCAGTGCATTGCCACGGGGGGCAGAGGAGCAGCAGCTCCCCCTGGGATTCTTTCCCTGTCAGACATTCCCTAAATCAGCTCCTGGCTGAAGAAAAATCCAGTTATCCCAGTAAAACAGGGGCTGGTGTGGGAAGAGGAAGGCAACCTGCAGGGCTACCTGCTGGGACAGCCACCCACGGGGATTGGGCTCCTGGGATCAGTTGGGGGTTGTTGTTGCTCCCTAAACATGGGCCTTGTGGAGCCCCGTGTGTGGGGAGTGCAGGGGGGGTGGATATTCCCTGTGGATCACAGGGATTGGGCTCCTGGGGTCAGTTGGGGGTTGTTGTTGTTCCCTAAATATGGACCTTGTGGAGCCCCGTGTGTGGGGAGTGCAGGGGGGGTGGATATTCCCTGTGGATCACAGGGAATTTTGTCTGGGGCTGAAAGCTCCAAAGGCAATAGTTGGGGTGACCTGAGCACCCCAAACCCTCCACCCTGATCCTTCCAGCTGCCTCTGTGATGCCGGTGCTGGTGATGCTCCGGGTCAAATCCCACAGGGAAAACAACCCCAATCCCTCAGGGATCCCCTGCCTGCTCCCTGAGGCACATCCACAGGGTGTGATGGAGAGGCACAGGTTTTATCCTGACCCTGCCAGTGGCATCCAGCTCCTCTCTCCAGCTTTCCAGGCTGGGCAGAGCAGCTCCTGCCTCGGCCGGGACGTGCGATGGGAATTCCCCTGGAGCTCCTCACCGGAGCCAGGGATGAGGGTGGATGAGGGTGGGCTCTGTCCCCACGAAGTGTCACCCCAGGAATGCCCCATGGGGCTGGAGCAGAGGGAAGGGAACCCTCCTGTGGGTTCGGGATGTGCCGGTGCCGCTTTTCCGTCGGCTCCGGCTCCCGGCGGCCGATCCCGGCCTCCCGCTGGATCCCGGCCAGGCTCCTGCTCCTGGCGGGCTGGTGCCCCTTTCTTGGGTCCCTGCCACCACCACCGCCGTGCCAGGCCACTCCAGGGAATTACCAGAGGATTCTTAATTAAGTGGGAGGCTCCGGCCACCCTCTGGAGGGCGATCCCTGCGGATGCGCCCAGGGCCGAGGGAAGGGGGATCCCGAGGGCTGAATCCTGGCTTGGATGTCTCCCAGAGGGACTGAAAAATCAAAATCTGAACCAAAACGAGCCCCCAGACCCGATTTGGGGTGTTCCTGGTGGTTCTGCCTCCCTGGTGATCGGGGTTTCCGTGGAGGTTCCTGTTTGTTGGTCCTGATGTGAGGAGGGTGCTCAGCTCCAGGGATGAGGGCTGGGAGGGCTCTGGGAGCCTCAGGGACATTCCAGCTGCTCCAGGGCTGTCAGACACCAGCAGTGGGAATTCCCTGAACCCACAAACCTCTCCTTTGCTGTCTCTTCCCGTTGCACCTCGGTGTCTCCCTTCTGGAAAGGGGGCTCTTCCTCATCCTCCTTGGGTTTGATCCACATGGCACCAACAGGCACAGCCCGGAGGGAGGGGAATCTCTGCAGTTCCCGGGATCTGCAGGATCCCTGGCTGCTCTCCTGGGTTCTCCCTGTTGCTCCAAGTCACTTCACTCTGTCTCTCTTGGCTTTCCCCACAGTGAGGTTTAACCCGGGGGTGTGTGGAGCTCTTTGAAGAGCTGGCTGGAGGGAAACCCGAGGAAAGCCTTGGATGGAGCACATCCTGCTGCTCCCAGAGCTCGGGGATAACGAGGGACTGACCCGAGGGCTCGTCCGTGTGCAGCTCCATGAATGGGAACTGTTGCAGCCTCCTGTTCTCCGGGTGCAGTAGGATGTGGGGGTTTTCCCCCTCAGAGAGCCCAGCCCAGGGCCAGGGAGGGTTTATGGAGTTCCAGGAGATTCCAAAGGTCTCATTTTGCCTCCCGGTCCTGCAGGAGATCCACTCGGGGCCGCTGGGTGTGCAGGCAGGTTTTCCAGGCTGAGGGATGGAGGCAGTGGGGCGTTGAAGGGCTGTCGAAGGGCTGTTATCCCAAACGGCGCCGTCAGTGCGGAGCAGGAGGACGGTGACCCCGGGATCCATCCCCGGGACACACAATTCCTCCCCCCGGACGTTCCTCCAGCTCTTCACCCTCCCCTTTCCTCCCCCTTTGGTGCTTTTACTCAAAGAGTCGCCGGCACGTGCAGGAACTGCCCACACTGGCAATGGGCAAACAGGCAGTTTGTGCACCGGGTCGATCCGTCCGTTCCGGCTCATCCTGAGGATCTGGGAGACTCCTGCCTTTGGTGTGAGGTGAGCAGCACCCAGCAGAGCAGCACCCAGCAGAGCTCCCACCTTCTCCCACGAGCTGGGGCTGCCCCGGAGCCGCTGCCCGTGGGAAGGGCTGCCCGTGGGAAGGGCTGCCCGTGGGAAGGGCTGCCCGTGGGAAGGGCTGCCCGTGGGAAGGGCTGCCCGTGGGAA